TCATAAAGGATGTATTGGCTATATTTGCCATTGAAGGATGAAGAACCAAAAGAAAAGTGAAGAAAAATGATAAAACAGTGAAAACAGGGTAACCTGGTGAAGAAGACGACTGTGTTCTTGAGCGAATGAGGGTGAATACCAAGAACAGAAAATATCAAATTAAAATTTGATTCCTGCTCTGATACCAACTGTAGGATCGATTAACTCAGTTTCTTGGTATAGATTACTTACTTGGATGATCTGTTTGACAGTGTTAATGCAGCGGAAGTGATAAGAATCAAGCACAGTAGAAATCAATAAGAACATGATGAAGACGATTGATGAACACAAGAGAGAGCTTCAAAATGAATTTCAATTCAATGAAAATGTTAACAATTACAATACTGAAGCACACTGAAATACAAGGGCCTACGCTGCTATTTATACAAGCAAGTAACYGTTTCCTGAYACGACCTAAAAGTAAATTAATCTAAGTCGTTCGATCAAAACAAATTACAGACAAGAACACGTGATAAACAAGAGCAGCTAATAAACCTAAGTAAAACAGCTAAAGAAGATCTATACAGAAGACATTCTGCAGAACCTCTATGAGACATGACAGAGGTTTTGTCGTCTTTGACTTGTAGAAATGTCTATGCAGAGGACCAGTTTACAGAACCTCTGTGAGACAAGACAGAGGTTCTGTCACTTGAGACTTGAACGCTTGAGCATCTTCTGCTGTTGGTCCTCTGTAGTCTTCTATGACAGATCATCTTCTGTCAATACTCGTAGTTTACTTTTTCTATACTTTTACATTTAAGGAAATGAGAGCTAACAGACTCCTTTTTAAATTTTCCAAACAATTATCAAAAGATGAGCCATAAACTGAAAAAATCATCCATAAAGATTTCTATGGATTTTTCAAGCATGTTAGAGAATATGGACATCATGCATCTCCGAAAAGTTGCAGGAGCATTGCAAAGTCCAAATGGCATTCTCTTAAAGGCAAAAGTACCATAGGGACATGTGAAAGTGGTCTTTTCTTGGTCCTCGGGTGATATGGCTATTTGGTTATATCTGGAGTATCCATCCAAAAAGCAGTAATACTCTTTTCCAGCCAACCTGTCCAACATCTAATCAATAAAAGGTAAGGGAAAATGGTCCTTTTGAGTGGCTTTGTTTAGCCTACGGTAGTCCATACCTATCCTCCAACCAGATACTATTTTTGTGGGGATGAATTCATTCTTGTCATTGGAGACAACAGTAAACCCTCCCTTCTTTGGGACACATTGGATTGGACTAACCCAGGAACTACCGGCTATTGGAAAAATTATTCCGGCGTCTAGCCATTTCAAAATTTCCTTCTTCACTACTTCTTTCATGACCGGGTTCAATCTCCTTTGAGGCTCTATAGATTTGAAGTTCTTTTCATCTAGGATGATCTTATGTTGACATATAGAAGGACTAATCCCCTTAAGGTCAGCAATGGTCCATCCTATAGCTTTGGTGTGCAACTTCAACATATTTACAAACTTCTTTTCTTGATGTAAATATAGGGTAGATGATATGATGACAGGTAATTTACTTTCCTCTCCTAGAAATGCATACTTCAAGTGAGATGGGAGTTGCTTTAACTCCAAATCAGGTGGTTAAATTCTAGATGGGGTAAAATTCTTAAGCTCACTATTGTCCAACAACTCAAATGCTGCAGCATCAGATGGGACATCACCTTCTAAATCCTCAACAGTATCATCACCTATCTCAACATTATCCTCCTCCTCTAGCTTACAGGCCTTCCTAACTCCTTCCTCATAACACATTATCTCAATCTCAGTAATTCCTGAGCATTCCTCTAAGTAATCAGGGAACTTTAAGGAATTAAAGACATTGAATGTGACTTTCTGGTCTTGGGGTCTCATGGTTAGCTCTCCCTTTTAGACATCAATCAAAGTTCCACCAGTGGCTAAGAAAGGTCTTCCTAAGATTATGGGAATATCCTTATCAGCCTCAAAATCGAGGATGACGAAGTCAGCCGGAAAGATGAATTTGTCAACCTGAACTAAGACATCCTCAATCTTACCTTTTGGATAAGCTATGCTTCTATTGGCCAATTGCAAGGTGACAATGGTGGGTCTAGCTTCTCCTATGCCTAGGGTGTTGAAAACAGACAAGGACATAAGGTTGATACTAGCTCCTAAATCACACAAAGCTTTACCAATCTCCTTTCCACCTATAGAACAAAGAATAGTGAAACTCCTTGGGTCTTTAAGCTTAGGGGGTATTTTGTTGGTTAGAAGCGCACTACATCCCTAGGTAAGAGCTATGGTCTCATATTCGGTCAACTTCTTCTTCTAACTCAGAATATCTTTAAGGAACTTGGCATAACTGGGCATTTGCTCTATTGCTTCAACAAGAGGTATGTTGATATACAATGCTTTAAACACTTCCAAAAACTTCTTGAATTGCAGTTCTTCCTTTTGATTCCTTAACCTTTGGGGAAAAGGAACATAAAGAGGAATTGGCTTTATGATAGCTTTGTTAGGTTGTGTTGAGCAAGATGGGTCCAGAGTACCTAGAGTCTTGGTCTTACTTTCTTGAGGTTCATATGGGATTACAACTTTGGTTTTTGGACCTGTTATAACCTCATCCTCAATTGGCTTTTTCCTAGCAACTTCTTCTGGGAATAACAAAGGATAGTTCGACTCAGGAGGAACAATAGTGGTGGTCTTAGGAGGTTGGTCATTCAAAGGTTTTGGTGGACTTTCAGTAACAGGGACCATGGGTATAGTCTCAGGTTTAGACACAAGCTGTTCACTTTCTTTTGGTATGGTCTCTATTAATTCCTTACCACTCCTAAGAGTCACTACTTTCACATGTTCTTTTCCTAGATCTCTCGGGACTTCCGTGTTACTAGGCAAAGTACCAAGGGTTCTACTATTCTGATTAAGAGCAAGTTGGCTAACTTGCGTTTTCAGGTTTCTAATGGTAGCACTTTGTTGATTGAACAACGATTGATTTTGAATCATCGTTTGCTGCTGTGCTTGGGACTGAGCCACCAGTCCTTTTATCATAGCCTCCAAGGAAGATGATGATTCAGATTGTGGAGGTGGTTTGGTCTGAAAAGGTGGTTGATTACTTTGAAAATTCTGATGATGGTGATTTTGAGAATTAGAACTGCTTGCATGTTGTTGTTGAAAATTAGGGTTTCCATGTTGCTTATGGACTGGAGGATTCAAACTTGGACTATTCCATGAAAAATTTGGGTGCTGTCTCCAACTGGCATTGTATGTGTTAGTGTAGGGATTCGATCTGTTATGAACATAACTCATAGATTCAGCATTATGTGGACACAGTTCATAAGAGTGTTTCCCTCCACAACAGACACACTGCACTGAGAGGACAGCTGGAATAGGTGATGTAACAGCTCACTGCACTCCTTGGCCAGAAGCAATTAGAATGATGCTTACCATGCACGTTTATTTTTGTCTTGTCCTTCCACACACTAAGGACAAACCCATACCTTTTCTAGAGCATAGTACTGTACGGAGCCAATTAGTTGACTCTAGTGCTCACCAACTCTATGAAAAGATGTCTGCTTATGAATAGACAAAAGGACTATTCATTATATCAAAGGAAAAGCTTTCCTCCAAAAGCTTGACATGTATTGTGTACCTTCTAAATTGCATTTAATGCAGTGGGTATAAATAAGTGGGTGTAAGCAATTAGAATTTGTCTTTCTTATTCTAAGAAGCATACCTAAGAAGATACCACTTTGTATCTACTCTCTCTAAAGAGAAAGAACCACTTCAAGCAAGTGAAGAACACATTTCCAAGTCTTAATTTCTTACAGCAAATCTTTTCTATTTGCTAAGTGTATTTATGTATACCTCTAGATTATTTAGATAGGTTTTCTTTACCTTATCTCTTCCGCAAACAATCTGTAAAAAATTTATTGATCCTTCTTTATCAATATATAATTTTAAAAATGAAAGTTTATGTGTTCTTATTCATCCCTCCTTCTACAAACTGTTATCTATAAACTCTTGTAGATCCAGCTGGGATCAACAAGTGGTATCAGAGCAACGTTTTCTTTCTGTGTTGTTTTGTTATTTTGTTGTTTTATTGGCTTTTTATTATCTTCTCTTCTCTAGATAATTTGTTCCTTTACAAATGTCTTTACAAAACACTAGCACTCACTTTCACGACAATGTCTCTCTTGCCAAAACTCCCATTTCATAAGAGACACCTTCAGTCTCTAGAAGAATTAGATGTCTCTCTTCTTGGAATGTGTGGATCCTGAGATTCCATACTATATAGAAAATGGACCCTATGTTCCATATGTTATATCTCCAGCAGTTCCTACAACTGCCACGACTACCGCGATTCCTGAACGGTAGATTCCAAAGCTCCCTCTTCAGTGGAGTGATGAAGACAAGAAGAAGATGGCTTTAGACACTCGTGTGAGGTCTATAATAGCCATGTCTCTTCCTGACGAGGTATATCACTCCGTGATGAAACTCAAAACCTCAAAATCCATGTGGGACACTCTCTGTTCAATATGAAGGTACTACTGAAGTACAAGAATCGAGGAAGATTAACTTAGTAAGACAATATGAAAGCTTTTTTTGTGGAAAGAATTAATCGTTGTATGAAGTACATCAATGTTTTAATTGTCTTCCTATTGATTTAAGGACAGTTGGAAGAGAATATTCCAACTCGGAGACTCTGATCAAGTTTCTTGAATGCTTGCCACAATCATGGGATCAATATACAATGTGTCTCAAGATGTCCAAGGACATGTCCTCTCTATCTCTCTCTCTTAGCTCTCTTTATGGGATACTACTCAATCATGAGCAGTCCCATCAGCTGAAGAAGAATCTTCTTAAAGATTCAAGAGAAATGAAAAGCTCTCCGTTAGCTTTGATCTTTGAGGGCTCTTCAGCTGACCCCATTAATTCTTCTAACCCTCCTATTTCTTCTATTTCTTTAACAGAGTTAGATCCTACTAACTCTGAGGAGTTGTCAAATCCTGATATTTCAGAGTTTGATGAGTCACTGGACCTTCTAACCAAATCCTTTAGAAGGTTTTCCATAAAAAGCAATTTCCACAGATCTCCTTCGCTGACCATCTCGGACAAGCCAAAGTCAAATCATATTGACAAGGCTACAGTGATCTACTACAATTGTCAACGCAAAGGACATTTGCGAGTGAATGCAGGTCTAAGAAGACTACGATGCCATTTTCTAAAACCCCATCCTTCTTCAGGTCCAGAGATGACAAATATCAAAAGCTGAAGGAGAAGTACAAGAAGATGAAGAGTTCTCAACGTAAAGGTAAGGGTCTTATCGCTGAAGAACATGACTAGGCTAAATCTACTGAAGAATCATCCTCGGATGAGAAAGATATGGTCTACCTCTGCCTAATGGCCAAGGATGTCAAAGATGAACCATATTAAACATCATCCTCCAGTGATCCCTCATCATCTACATTTACTCATGTGTGTTCCCTAAATGAATCCTCTTCTTTTGTCACTGATAGCCTATCAGCGCTAGATATGCTGACGATTGACCTTTACAATTCCCTCAATGCCAAATGCAAAGTAGAAATAATTAATCTTGATATTCAAGAACAATTAGAAAAATATCATTCTAAGATCAAAGAGCTGACTAATATTGAGGAAAATCTTAAAGATAAGGTCATTGTAAACCAAACCATTAGCATCGAACGTGAACAGGCTATAGCTGAGCGTGAGCAAGCTATTATTGAACTCAAGGTTGAGAAAGCTACCACTAAAGGGTGGTGTAAAGCCTCCATTAAGGTCTCTAAGATCATTAACTCTCAGATCCCTGCCAAGATAAAGATTGGTCTAGGTTTCTCCTATGATCAGGAAGATAGTGTCACTGACAGGTCCATGCTAAAATTTGGCACCTTCATATCTTCCATTCCCGACACTTCTTCCTCTCAGTATTCTTTTACTAAGAGCCAGCTTGAAGGACTCTTTTGAGTTCAGGATGCAAAGACAAAGGTAAATCCATTGTTATCGCTCCTCTTCCTAAGAAGGCCAACAAGTCAAAAAGACCCAGATCTAAACCTTCAGCTTGTGCACCTTCTTCTTCTTGGAACAAGATATCTGAATCCTCATAAACCTAAGCCAAAGATTAAAGTGAATGTTTCACCCGAGGTATCCAAACCCTCAATTGTTCCTGCTAGAACAAATGAGAAGGGAATCCTTGGAGCTCGTCCCTCTTCCCTTCCTTTGGACCTTTCTGGCCCTAAAGTTGGCATCAGCTATAGGAAGTGTAGACACTATGGTGAAACTACACATATTGCTAGTAAGTGTCCTTCAACTACCAAAGTTGGTCCGTCAGTTAAGGTAAAGAAAGTAACCAAGGTGAAATCTACCACCAAAGTTGTGAAAATAACTAAGGTGAAGAAGCCCACTGATGCCTCTTCTTCAGGCTCAGTGAAGACACCTGCTGACCCTGAGTCTTCAATGTTAGTAAATGTTGCCTCTAACTCTGCTAGACCCATAGAAAAATGGGTACCAAAGCAATCTTAATCTGTTTTCTTGTGTGGGAAGTCAAAGGTATTTGGTATCTTGATAGTGGATGCTCAAGACACATGACTGAAGACAAATCCCTACTCACTGAATATCAAGATGAAAGAGGTCCTTATGTAACCTTTGGAGGAAACGAAAAAGGATATACCAAAGGTTTTGGTATATTAACCAATGGTGTAACTACATTCAAACGTGTTGCATACATTAAAGGACTGAAGGACAATCTCCTTAGCATCAGTCAGCTGTGTGATAAAGATTTCACAGTGAAATTTTCTAAGAATTCATGTTATGTCCTTGATAAAGATGAGAAGGTTGCTCTTACAGGATCTCATCTAGAAAACGTGTATATCATCAACATGGATTCTCCTCTAACTGAGAACAATTGTTTTCTCTCTAAAGCCTCTTCAGACATCAACTGGCTATAGCACAAACAACTTTCTCATCTCAACTTCAAGACGTTGAATGAGCTGTCTCGAAAAGATCTTGTCAATGGCCTTCCTCAACACTCCTTTGCAAAAAAATCTCTTTGCTCAGTGTGTGAAAAGGGAAAGTAAACAAAGGATAGCTTCAAATCTAAGCTAGTCTTTTCAGTGACTTCACCTCTTCAGATACTGCACATGGATCTCTTTGGTCCAGTCAATGTGCAATCTATAGCTGGAAAAAAATATACACTTGTCATTGTTAATGAGTATTCCACGTACACTTGAGTCTTCTTTCTCATATCTAATAGTGATGTACCTGAAGAAATCATTTCGTTCATCAAACGCATAGAAGTACTAAACAACATCAAAGTACGATCTATAAAGAGTGATCATAGTACTGAGTTCAAAAATGTACTATTGATAAATTCTTTGAGAACAAGGGAATCTCACATAACTTTTCATCTGTGAGAGCTCCACAACAAAACGGGGTAGCTGAAAAAAGAAATCGAACAATCATTGAGGTTGCTCGATCTATGCTCAGCGAATCTCATTTCCCTACTCAATTCTGGGATGAAGCTGTCACCACTGCTTGTTTTACTTAGAATCGGTCACTGATCGTCAAAAGATTCAAGAAGACAACTTATGAACTCTTCCATAGTAAAAATCCCTTTTTCAGCTTTCTTCACATATTTGGTTTCATTTGTTACATTCTTAACAATAGAGACCAACTTGAAAAGTTCGATCCTAAAGTTGATGAATGAATCTTTCTTCAATATTCTTCAGTATCCAAAGCCTTTAGAGTATTCAACAAACGGCCACAAACTATAGAAGAAACCATCCATGTTACCTTTGATGAATCTCAATCATCTAACTCTAAACCCATCTCTGATGATGATGAAGAGTTAGAAAATTGGATGATATCTCACTATGGACAATCTGCAGCTTCCTTCTACAATCAACTCAGTGTTGACCCTCCAGAAGCTGAGGACGATCCATTTATCATTCCATATGTGACTAATAAACAAGGTGAATCTTCTTCAAGGATTGTTGCAGTGCCCATTAGTCACTTACCCCCTTCTACTTCAAAAACTGATCCTTCAGTCGCTGAAAATCCTTCAGCTTCTGAACCTCTATCATTTGCTGAATCACTCACTAAGGCTCTTTAGCAATCCAACCTATTGTTGAATAATCTGTTGCTGAAGCCTCATCTTCTATATCTAAGTTTCCAACCTCATATGATAATCATCTACCAACTCAGCGATGGACTAAAGACCATCCAATACATCAATTCTTGATGATCCAAGTGCAGGTATTCAGACACGTCAAGGTCTAGGTAATATATGTCTA